CGACACAAACAGTATAAAAGTAATGAGTATGAATCGTCTCAGTCCGACTCTGATGTCTTAATTTCTAAGAGGCTGACATTTTGGAGGAATATATTTATTAGTTTTTGTTGCGTAATCGGTGAGATGAGTCCTGACAGACTGACAGCAAGTTTCTCTGGAGGCTTTTCATCTGCAGCTATTTTAGTCTTTTCACTGACTCAGTGTGTGTGTGTGTGTGTGTGTGTGTGTGTGTGAGTGAGACAGCTTCATCACAATGGAAATCCCTTCTGCATCTCCGAGGCCGGTCACTCTGATTGACAGCTGGTCAGCCTGAGACACCGCTGATCTCCTAATTCCTTGATAGCAGTCTGGACTCAGACTCGTGTTTACGGCCCACAAACACCCACCACTAACTACGAAATACTCACTGAAATATAAGCATTTTATTTTGAAGGAATCACTGCAAGTGGTCACAGTTCGATGCAATAGAGTTTAATCTTTAAGCAAAGAAGTAAACCCGAGCAGACCCCGTAGTCTGACTGATGACCCGGGTTAGGGATTGGGTTTTACTGGAGGACTTTTACTTTGAAACACCATCTTTCCTGCTTCTTAACTAAGTGCAGTAAGTTCTCTAAATGTAACTAAATCATGAAATACGCTGTCAGTGAACATTTTACTGTTCAGCTTCAACATTTCATGACTTGACGCGTTAATATATAACCGTTATTCATATACAACCTTTATTTATTAACTAGAGATTAAAACCTCCAAAATAAAACACATCCTCTTTATGTTGATTATGTGGAATATAACCAAAGCATTATCATACGTTTACATTAATATTGCTTGTTTTGTCAGACCAAAAGTTTAAAGAACCAAAGTTATTCACTGTACTATACTGTATAATACTACTTATATACTACTGGCAGCTGTTCACTATTAAAAGGTTAGAGGGCTTTTATTGTGAAGGATTCGGGGTATTTTTACCGTAAAGACGCTGCAGGTGGCGGGGTGGCTTTTACTGTAAAACAGCTGGGTGGATTTTACTAATATGTTATATCTAATATTTTACTCCTAAGAAGACACTGGAGGGCTTTATGGTGAAAATACCCCGAATCCTTCACAATAAAAGCTTATTGTGAAGGATTCGCTGTATTTTTACCATAAAGACGCTGGAGGGCTTTTATCTTTATCTAAAGGATCTGAATTGTCTCAACTATACATGCAGTTAAATAAGTTAAAATAGAATAACACACTGATGTGTTTTAATTTCACTACAGCTCAACTTGACCTGTTTTTGTGTAGATTTGTTTAAAGCTGGATGTTATTTGGGTAAACATCTGATAATCCATCAGTCAGTCTGGGTCTGAACTGTCGGTTTTGGGTTTTTTGAGGAGATGGATCGGTCCGGAGGGAGGACTGAAGGACACTAATGAAGGAGGAAGAGGACACTGCTAGGAGGTAGCTTAGGTTGAATAACTGTGAGCGTTCTCCTTCATCTGCTTCCTGTTGTAGGTTCTCTCTCTCTGAGGGTTATTGCTGCTAATGTGAGACGTTTAATGCCCTCAGTGTGTGTGTGTGTGTTGGATTAGCGTTCTCCCGCTGTGCAGGATGATCTGAGGCCTGTCTGCAACACACACACACACACACACACTCTGAGCTGCAGGAGCGTTTTAATTGAAGCGTCTATCAGCCTGGTTGGCTCATGTTGGTGGACGGGTGGAAGTAGTTTGATGTCGTTTGCTGAGCTCTTTCTAACCCTCTATCTAAATATTACATATTCTAACCTTATGGCATAAAGATGTCTTTGCCAGGAAGTGATGAGCAATACTAAAAGCAGGAAGTGAACAGAGAGAAGTTATGGTCTATGGTGCTGAATGTGTGAATCTGAGAAGGTATTTCTGGATTAATCGCTCTAAGACGATGCAACCAAATTAATTATTCAGTTTACTTTCACACAAAACTATGAAAAGAAGAAAATCCTTCAAAAACGTAGACGCTACGTCTGCGTAAGTTTGGCAATTTTGCTTTAAAAAACGATGACACAATGTAATAATAATAACAATAACTTTATTTACAGCACCTTTAAAAACAGAGTTTACAAAGTGCTTTGACAGACAAAAGCTGCAAAAGTGTGGCAATAACAACAACAACAGAAAGACCAGTAAGACAGTCGATATGATAAACCAATAAATAAATAAACGAATTCTACCTCTCCAGGTTCTGGTAAAGCAGAGTGTGTCCGAGCGGTGGACGTCCTGACGGTGCTCAGAGAGAAAGTGGCCTTCGTTTCGGGTAAAAGCAACACACACACCTGCAGATTGTAACCCCGGCTTGGTCCCGATGCGACCCGGTTTAACTGTGTTCTTCTAGGTGGGCGGGACAAACGTGGCGGACCAATACTGACCTTCCCTGCCAGGACCAATCACGATCGAATAAAACAGGAAGACCTCAGCCGATTGGTCACCTACCTGGCGACCATACCCAGGTAACTGTCCACCTGATGAACCTCTCCACCTGTCTCTTTGCTTGCCCTGTCTCGCTCTCAACCCCCTGTCTGTCTGTCTGTCTGTGTGACAGTGAGGACGTGCGTGCTCGTGGCTTCACGGTGGTGGTGGACATGCGCGGCAGTAAGTGGGACAGCGTGAAGCCGGTTCTACGGACGCTGCAGGAGTCGTTTTCCTCCAACATTCACACAGCGCTGCTCATCAAACCGGACACGTTCTGGCAGAAACACAAGACCAACCTGGGCAGCGCCAAGCTCACCTTCGAGGTACTAGTGACAACTAAAGTAGTAATACTGATAACTACAGTAATACTACTGCTTACTGCTGCAATAATACTGCTGAGTTACATATGTGTGCTACTGTTGCTAACTGATGCATCGTTGCTGAATGAAGTTTTGTCAATGCTACTAACTAAAGTACTGCTGCTGCTGCCAACTAAAGTACTGCTGCTGCTAACTAAAGTACTGCTGCTGCTAACTAAAGTACTGCTGCTGCCAACTAAAGTACTGCTGCTGCCAACTAAAGTACTGCTGCTGCTAACTAAAGTACTGCTGCTGCCAACTAAAGTACTGCTGCTGCTAACTAAAGTACTGCTGCTGCCAACTAAAGTACTGCTGCTGCTAACTGGTCATACCCGTCTTCAGACCAGCTTGGTGTCGGTGGAGGGTCTGTCCCGGCTCGTCGACCCCTCGCAGCTGACCTCTGACCTCGGTGGTTCGTTGGAGTACGACCACGTGGAGTGGACCGAGCTGCGTCTGGGTCTGGAGGAGTTCACCGGAGCTGCCACGCAGCTGCTGGCCCAGCTGGAGCAGCTGGAGGCCGGGCTGAACCGCATACCGGAGCCACAGGACGTCGACGAGGCCCGCAAGTGAGTTATTGATTCGTGTTCTAACTTATATGGACAATTGTTTGACATAAAGATATTTTTGTTTCCGGAAAAATAACAACTTTCCATCTCCAGACTTCTGGAGGAACACGGTCGGCTCCGTAACACCATAGCAACGGCACCGGTCGACTCCCTCGAGCGAGAGGGGCGGAGCTTGCTCCAGCGCATGCGCCTTGGCCCCTCCCACGGTGACGCCTCCACCGAAGGCGGCGGCGGTGGTAGTCACGGCAGCTGGCTGTCGGGCGGGGCGGACTTCCAGAGCGTCGCGCCAAAGGTTTCGTCTCTGCTGGACCGGCTGCAGGCGGCTCGTGGTCACCTGCTGCAATGCTGGAGCGACAGGAAGCTGCACCTGGATCAGGTGCTGCAGCTGCACCTGTTTGAGCAGGACGCCACCAAGGTGAGGTTCAATGATCAGGGTTCACCGGGAGTCAGTCAGTGAGTCTGGAACTAACTGAATATGTGAGATGAAAATATGTAGAATGAGTGGATTTGCTCTTGTATTACTACTAGTATTACTCCTGATAACTCTAGTATTACTACTGATGACTATAGTATTACTACTGATGACTCTAGTATTACTCCTGATAACTCTAGTAGTACTAATGATGACGATAGTATTACTACTGATGACTATAGTAGTACTACTGAGAACTCTAGTATTACTAACTAAAGTACTCTTCCTGTCCCAGATGTCGGAGTGGATAGCTCACAGTAAAGACTTGTTCGTTCAGACTCTGGCTGAGGTCGGTCAGAACAACCAGCACGCCCTCGACCTCCAGAACCAACACCAGCACTTCACCGCCAACTGCATGGTGAGCATCTGTCTGTCTGTCTGTCTCTCTCTCTCTCTCTGTCTCTCTCTGTCCCTCTGTCTCTCCCTCTCCGTCTCTCTGTCTGTCTGTCCCTCTCTCTCTGTCTGCCTGCCTCTCTCTCTCTGTCTGCCTGCCTGTCTGTCTACATTAACCCCGTGGTGACTGTACAGAACGGCAGTGTGAACGTGGACAGCGTGGTGACGGTGGCGGTGCGGTTGGCGGAGGCCGGTCACTATGGGGGGGGGGCGGATCACCGCGGTGTCGTCACGGTTACAGGACGACTGGAAGACGCTGACGACGGCGCTGGAGGAACGCAGCATCACGCTCGCCATGGCAACCAGCTTCCACCAGGGGGCGGAGCAGGTGATGACACACCTGTATACCTGTATCACTGCCAGTTTATCTGTCTACGCGTCCACGTCTCACCTCCAAACTTTATACCTGTCTGTCATCCCACGACCTGCCTGACTGTCTCCACTCACCTGTCTACCTGACTGCTATTTCACCCTTCTGCCTCTCTACCCGTCTGCCTCTCTACCCGTCTGCCTCTCTACCCCTCTGCCTCTCTACCCGTCTGCCTCTCTACCCCTCTGCCTCTCTACCC